TTGTGTCTCTGCAGCGTTATGTGACTTACCACAGCAGTTACCAGATATTCCAAATAGACGTCTCTGCGGAACTGGATTACCCAGAATTCGCTATTTTCAGCACCGTGGCGCAATACAAGTGACGCCAGCAGATGGCGCTTACACCATTTATGCAGGAATTATACAAACCGTTACACGTGCAGCAGCAGTGATGGCCAAATGAAGCGTTTCGAAGCATTATTGCTTTCTGATACTATTGTGTCGAAAATGGTTCATTACTCGAAGCTTCATTCAGATAGAAATGGCAGCACCATCTCCTGGTGAAGTAAATGTAATGCAACAAAGCTGACAACCATAAAATGCAAGTAGGCGTGTGTTAACGCCCCGTTGATGACGAGTTTACCGAAGCGATCAAAGCTGAAACAGTGTTAGTGCTGTGAAACTCATGTAGGCTAGGTGAATTTTACAGATACGGATGAATTTCATGTGTTCACCTTGATAATAAAACAATAAGGATGATGATGAGTGTGTGTAATTAATTCTTTGGACAAGGACAGAAGATCAGACCAGCTTAAAAAAAGTTGGAAACCATCACAGAAATTCTAATGGTTTCAATTAAGATACCAATAAGGAATCATTTTTTTTTACCATTTAAACCATGTTTTCCATGAGTATTGAAACCATGACATAGCTACTGCTTCTTTCCTATGGGAACCACCAGAACTCTGTAACTTTACTGGTGGGACTGATATTTTTGTATGTTGAAAGGATGCTTGTGTAACTGGTTGAACTTGAATAATGTATTTGTATGCAGAAATGTCAAAGAATTAATCTTATTCGGGAAAATAAGTTTAAAGTGTTCCCACACTTGCGAACGACTTTCTCGATGGCTCCATCACAATAGAGAAATAAAACTTGGTTTTTCACAGTAATGAACAACATAAACTCTAACTCATAAGTAGTTTATATAGCCTATAATAAAAGATAATGATTTCAAACCTGAACCAAACATTTTTTTTTCTTCCAAAAATCAACAGTCTGTAATTAATCTTTAATCTGCCACTAAAAAATGGTGTGTTGTGGTTCCAGGACACCAGCCATGTCAACGAAACGAATAAATGAAAATTTGCGTATCAATGTATATTTAAATTCATGCCTACATCTTTGTAGAACTTCAAAAAAAGAAACAGAAAAGATGCTGCAGCCAATGAGCTGCTGGCGGGGGCCGGCTCAACCTCCACAGACAGTTTTTAATATTTTATCAGACAATAACTATTCCATGTTTTGTTTTAATATAATTTTAGGGACAATTGGGGCCAGATTCAGGACAACAGCTTAGATTTCGGGACGTCTGGTCCCCCTATGTGGCGGCTCGCGCACAGTCTCCACTCGGACGCGCTCTTCAATTGGCTTTATGCACAGCTGCACTACTTCCTGAACTTAAGCCAGCTCCTTGTTTCCTGTCCACCATTATTGGCCAAACTTGATTAATTCAGGTGTGTCTGATTATTGTTGCCGTGACTACTGAGGTCAGGCACACCTGAACTAATCAATTTGTCCAATAATGGAAGACAGGAAACAAGGAGCTGGCTGAAGTTCAGGAAGTAGTGCAGCTGTGCATAAAGCCCATTTCTGGTTCCCGTAGTGACGGCTCACGTGGTGTTTGCATGCTTATACCACAGCTGAAGTGAAATAAATGCAACATTTGCCAAATAAACAGATATTTCAGACACATTTTCATTCAATACTTTACTGCTTCATACAGCATCTGTTTGAACTAGAATAAAGTTCAAAATAAGCCTATAATCAATGACGTGGAATCAACGTTTTTTAATCAGTTTTATTTTGATAAACATGACACAATATAACACTGCGACTACATGAAAAGAGTGTTTACTGTTATAAAATACTGATTTGTGAGCTTTAGTGGAACTAAACGTGTGAGAATAAACACGAAACGCACGTGATCGTTGTCATGCGGTGAATCCGGCGAATCGTGGAACAGCTGTGACATCATCAGAGCTCGTGCAGCCGCTCTTGAGAAGCTGCGCTGGCTGAGTCCTCCGGCTACTCTCGTATCGCTCTCGCGGTACTTTGATGGCATATGTCACAGTCACGTGGAGTCAGCGCTGCATCAAGTCGGACAAAATTTCTAACTGGCATGCACTGTTTCAAGTCAGCCGCCGATCGGTCTGCGCAGAGCTGCATGAAGTCGAACAAGCCTCTTTAGTTCCACTAAAGCTCACAAATCAGTTTTTTTTTATAATAGTAAACAGTCTTTTCATGTAGTCGCAATGTTATATTGTGTCATGTTTATCAAAATAAAACTGATTAAAAAAACGTTGATTCCACGTCATTGATTATAGGCTTATTATGAACTTTATTCTAGTTCAAACAGATGCTGTATGATGCAGTAAAGTATTGAATTAAAATGTGTCTGAAATCTGAAATATCTGTTTATTTGGCAAATGTTGTATTTATTTCACTTCAGCTGTGGTATAAGCATGCAAACACCACTTGAGCCGTCACTACGGGAACCAGAAATGTCCGACTTCAAGTCTCCGTTTGCAGCTCCTCCCCGCCTGCACGCGGCTGATCGGTTGCATCCAGCCGCAGGCGATGTCGAACACACCTTTTGATACTCTAACAATACTTTTAAAATCAACTGGGCCAAACAATTTCTTAAAAATCCTGTTTCCTTTTGGAATTTTATTCCTAACTTTATATTTTGGTGGTTTGAGCTTCATATTAGGTTGCAATTACAATGTAGACAAAATACCGCGGAAAAGCTCTCTTTATTTCACAAACAAGTTTTGTTAGCATGGTTCCTCATATATAAGCACAACTTTTCTCCCCATAAATATATTATATGGAACAACCGGGATATTCTATTTAAGACTAAGTCATTATTTTTTCCTAACTGGATTGAGAAATTTTAGAGTTTATTTTGAGAGATTATTTTAGTGTTTCAACTGTTCAATAATGATGGACAACTTATGTCTTACACAGAATTTTTAAACACCTATAAGTTTCCAGCCACACCGAAAGAATATGCAATAGTATATGATGCTATACTTTCTGGTGTCAAAATGCTATTTAGAAGTGTTGATTTTAATATCTCTTCTGTTCCTTTCTATAATCCATTCGATTCAGATATAGGTAAAATCTGTCTGACCTCTTCCAGAAATAACAATTAATATGTACGGTGCTTTGTTTTCTGAAACTTTGTTTCAGAAAGAAGTGATATCTATCCCATGTGTTGTTCCATACTGGAATTCTTTTGTCAATGATATTAACTGGAAAAAAGTATGGACAATTCCCAATAAGTTTTTTATTACTAACAAAGTCAAGGAAATTTCTTTCAAAATTATCCATAAGTACTACCCTGCTAACCACTATATGACGAAATTCAAAAGGGACATTGATGTGAACTGTTCTTTTTGCGGAAAACCCCCTGAGACCACCCAGCACCTTTTTTGGAACTGCACACACTCCACAACCTTCTGGAAGGACTTCTGCAGCTTTATTATGAAAGAACTTTACAAGGACTTTACATTGAAGTGGGAAAATGTTGTGTTTTGTTTTTTTAGAAAACAAAGTAAAGAAGATATGTTTTTTTATTATAAATGTACTAATTGTGCAAGCTAAATTCTAGATCCACAAATGCAAATATATAAAACAAAAACTGGCCTTTAAACATTTTTATTGTGATATGTTATCATATATAAAATTAATTAGTGGTTCTTTGAACAAAAAGGCTATGAAAACGAGAAATATTTGTATTACTTACAATTTGTTTGAATGTATGTGATACCCCCTGGCAAGGGTACTATTAATGTTGTATGTTTTGTATACTTTGTATACTGTTGTTTTCATTTGAGCAATAAAAATAATAATAATAATAATAAAAAAACGGTACTTTGATGGCATACATCACAGCCACGTGAAGTCGGTGCTGCATCAAGTCGGACAAAATTTCTTACCGGCATGCACTGTTTCAAGTCAGCCGCCGATCGGTCTGCGCAGAGCTTCATGAAGTCGAACAAGCCTTGAATCTTCAGCTTTATTACTCCGGTCTTCAGTGTCACATGATCCATGATCAAAAAACATACAAATTCAGGCTTCTTTTGTGAATGTAAAGTTCTGTTTAATTTATTTAAATATAATCATTATAAATGTCTTTACTGTAACTTAAAAAAAGGTTGACCCCAAACCTTTGAACAGTTGTGTATAATGTTCCAAAAATATAAAACAGTTATTTTAAATTGTAATAATGTTTAACAATATTACTGTTTTTACAATATTACAATTTTTATCACATAAATGAAGCCTTGGTGAGCATAAGAGACATTTAAAAGCTTCTTAAAAATTTGTATTAATTTTTTTTTAATGTAAAAATCTTAGCAATTAGCAATCTTAGCATGTTTGTGTGTGTGCGTGCAGGTTGGTCTTTTAAAAATTAATAATTTTCATGATTACTGAGAATATTATAAAATTATATAAAGACAATTCTGTGATGATAAAAAATTATTTGTGCATTTATGCATTCTTATTACATATTTTAATAATATACATTTGATGCCATTTGTTTCTCACATTCATTCAATTTGAAATGTAATGAACTGACAAATATCACAGCACTCTAGTGTTTACTGAATTAGATTTATTCTGTTTTCAAGCTCGCCTGCCTGTTCCTGTCATTAGCCATTCTTCAAAAAAATCATCATCTTCATCATCATCATCTTCATCAAATTGTTCAGTGGTGTGTTCATCAGTGTTGAATGATAGTGATGCGATTCTCTCCTGGTATAAAGGAGTCAGTGTATTGTCCAGCATCAGTTTGTCTGATCTCAGAGTCAATCTCTCTCTGGAGATTGAGTGTCTGGATGATGCGTACAGCTGTGTGATCAACAATACCATCAGCAACCAGATCACACATCTCAACACTGAACTCTGTGGGCCATGTTCAGGTACATGATACATCTGCTCTGATATCTGCATTTGTGTTTACATGCACTCACACTAATGACTATCTCCTTCAGGTCCAGTCTCAGAGTCACTGATAGTGTTGATCTCTTCTTCTTCTGTTGCTGCATCTCTGATGATAGTCGCTGCTGCTGTCGGGATCTTCTGCATCTGCAAGAAACACAGAAAAACAGACAGAGAAGGCAAGTATTATATAATAGATATATCATATCAAAAAATGTAAACAGTGCTCAAACATAACATAATTTCATTGAGTGTTTTGTTTCTGTAATTCTGAAACAGTCCAGACCCGTGATAGAGAGATCACTTACGCTGATCCGACATTCTACAAAAAACATAAAACGGTAAGAGAATTTATTTCTATGTATGGTGTGTCTGAATTATTGTAGCAGCGAGTCTATACAGATATTTATAAAAGCATTAGATGTATTTTAGTGTCCCTTTGTCTTCTGCTCTGATCTGTGTATTTTGTAGAGTCACAGATTTAGATTTAGATTTAGAGGAGAGCGAGGCACAACCTATAACGCTTTTTTGACTTTCTCCATTTGTGTAAATCTACTTAGGGTTCAGAGTAATTTTTTTTTTTCCAAATTAATTTCACACGTCTGGTAGACTGGTACAAATGTTTTCTTGTACTTCTTTCATTATTTATGCCCTAAAGAATGGAATTGAATGTAAGGGGGCATATTGTAACCATCCACATGACCATATAACATGTGTAACTGTATGACAGGGGTGTCCAAAGTCGGTCCTGCAGCGCCACTGTCCTGCAGAGTTTAGCCCGCTTGCCTCAACACAGTCTGGAAGTTTCTAGTATGCTAAGAGCTTTATTAGCAAGTTTTAACTGTTACACAGGTTAATGTATTCTGTTGATTAGATCAGGATTAAAATAACTATCAACTGTTAAAAAACATATAGGTTTAAAATAATATCAGATTTATCTAATATGAAATAAACACAAAAACAGAGAGGAGATAAATAACTTAAACAATAATTTTACTTTTGTTATTGTTAAATGTTCAGTGACAGGGTAGAGCGGGGCACAAACCCAACACATTTTGGTTTTGGCTCAATTATTAAAAAAATTATTTAGTTAGATTAGTAAATAATTTAGTTAGTTTTTTTTCTTTTCTAGGACCTGCATATGTTGTACTGAAAGTGACAGAAGTGCAAATGTACAACTTACCCCATATGCGGGGTTAACAGTCAAAAGACAAAGAGGTTATTTGTAACTAACAGAATTCAGTCCTATTTTATCTGTATAGTTTGTGTATCTGTATAGATAGATATCCATATATCCATCCCTCATCCAATCATCCTTCTATTATGGATCAATATCATGGATAGAAATAGGAAAGGGCTGCACAGATGTGCAAATATCAAATATTGTAATTGCGATTGAATTATATTTGTGTGTGGCAGCTGCATGCAAAAATTTTATAATTAATTTTAGAAAGTAATAATAATAAAAACGAGCTTAAAATCACAATGAACACTGTTACAACTAACCCTGCTGTGTAAAGCATATTTTAAACATTTGCTAGGAGTTGCTGACATGTTTCAAAATGGTGGAAATGGAAATGGTGACGTATACACACAACTCAGAAACCTTAAAAAAAAAAAAAAAAAAAACTATGATAAAAAATGTATACTTGCATGGTGTCAAAACACTCTTTGTCCAGTATCTTCTTGAAATATAAGCAAAACTTTCCATAAATCAGCGGGAGTCTTGGCAGTGAGAAAAAAAGAGTGGGAACACAATCCTGACTAAATATGTAAAAGGTCTGTGTTACATTTAACCCCGCGTTGTGCCTCGCTCTCCCCATTACATTATTGTCACAAACTCTAATATGTCATCAGATATGCTTTTATCTCCCCAAAATGTGAAAATAACATTTTACAGGTAGGAGGATTTTAGAAATAGAAAAAGTGTAAAGCGAGTTCTTGATGAATATGTCAGTGAACATGTATTTGTGTTTTCTTTCAGAGGCAGAGTGCTGTAGAGAGTGATGATGTGGTGTACGCAGCAGTCATGAGACGTTGATCAACCCTTGAATTACAGAGCAGGAGAAGATTTACATGTTCTCTGTGAATTACATATACACTCACCGGCCACTTTATTAGGTACACCTGTCCAACTGCTCATTAACACTTAATTTCTAAGCAGCCAATCACATGGCGGCAACTCAGTGCATTTAGGCATGTAGACATGGTCAAGACAATCTCCTGCAGTTCAAACCGAGCATCAGTATGGGGAAGAAAGGTGATTTGAGTGACTTTGAACGTGGCATGATTGTTGGTGCCAGAAGGGCTGGTCTGAGTATTTCAGAAACTGCTAATCTACTGGGATTTTCACGCACAACCATCTCTAGGGTTTACAGAGAATGGTCCGAAAAAGAAAAAACATCCAGTGAGCGGCAGTTCTGGGGCAGAAATGCCTTGTTGATGCCAGAGGTCAGAGGAGAATGGCCAGACTGGTTCGAGCTGATAGAAGGGCAACAGTGACTCAAATAACCACCCGTTACAACCAAGGTGGGCAGAAGAGCATCTCTGAACGCACAGTACGTCGAACTTTTCATTGTTGCAACGCCACAGCCTACCTGAGTATTGTTGCTGACCATGTCCATCCCTTTATGACCACAATGTACCCAACTTCTGATGGCTACTTTCAGCAGGATAATGCGCCATGTCATAAAGCTGGAATCATCTCAGACTGGTTTCTTGAACATGACAATAAGTTCGCTGTACTCAAATGGCCTCCACAGTCACCAGATCTCAATCCAATAGAGCATCTTTGGGATGTGGTGGAACGGGAGATTCGCATCATAGATTTGCAGCCGACAAATCTGCGGCAACTGTGTGATGCCATCATGTCAATATGGACCAAACTCCCTGAGGAATGCTTCCAGCACCTTGTTGAATCTATGCCACGAAGAATTGAGGCAGTTCTGAAGGCAAAAGGAGGTCCAACCCGTTACTAGCATGGGGTACCTAATAAAGTGGCCGGTGAGTGTATATGCACATGAGTAGCGATTCTAGCCACGGGCGAACCGGGTAGTCGCCCGGGGCGGCATCTCTTCTCGTCACATGGGGGGCGGCACGAGCAGTTAAAAAAATCCTCTGTGCCGCGAAGGTTTTCTATTTTTTATCATTTCGATTCAATTATTGGCAATGGCGCCCCTGCTTGCTGAGAAGGTGCCGTGCACAGAAGCGATATCAAGGGGGTCTCTTGATTAGTTCACGTATCGCGTCTTTTGCGCGCTTGAGGTCGTTATTTCAAATAGGCGATTAGGCGCACGGAAGCGCGCTCATTAAGGCCAATTTATACTTCTGCGTCGAGGGTACGCCGTAGTGTACGGCGTTGGCTTCGCACGTAGGCGACGCCGTTGTGAGCATTTATACTTCTGCGTTCAGGTATTGGTTGCTCTGCAGTACTGCTCCGAAACGCTAGGAGGCGGCGGAGGGTTTTAATGTTCCACTGTGTTTAGATTCCTCGCGGCTAGGTTACTACAAGCAATAGCGACTGAAAGAGAGTGGATCATGTTGGAGTTGGAGCTTATTGGGGTGAAAAAACAGTTCATTTTAGTGAAATTACTAAAACTGAAAGGCAGAAATGAGAGAAGACGTCGGAGGAGATGGTACGTGTGGAAATGCGTGAGAAGGTACGTGCGGAAATGCGTAGGAGGAAATACGACGCTACCAAGCCGACCAATCACCGATCTTGCGGTCCGCGTCGTCGCGACGTGTAGTTACATTTTTGAAGAGGTGCGCGTCAGGCAACGCGGAAGGGTACGCGGTATGGGACGCGTCTGTGCGTATGCTACGCCGTACCTACTGCGCGCACCCTACGCAGAAGTATAAATTGGCCTTTAGGCGCGCTCATAATCTTTTCAGTATGGGAGTGCGAGTGCACCCAAACACTTGGGTTTTTTTCTCTTCTCCGTAAAGAAATTTTTTAGCAGAGCTTCTGTGGTGGAAATACATTAGCTACTAAAACTTCTTTGTCATTGTGGAGAGCGCAGTGCATGGTTGTATAGCAACGACTGCCATGGGAAAATCGGACCGAATTTTACTATTAATAATAAAAGATAAGCTACTGTGCATTATAAATGTCAGGAATGTATCTTTATTGACTCATTCTTTTTATAGAGATAATTGAATGCTGAAATATGAGGTTTATATTTTTTTCTTAAATCTTTTTTTGTGTTAACCTTTTTTTAAGTTTAGTAGGTAAGATAAAAGACAATCCTTAAAAACAAATCTTTAATGTTAGTACATCGAAACGTTAGTCAATTGTTGCACCTCAAATAAATTTGCTTCTAAGAAGATCTGTGCACCGGAGTTTCTCCCGTTCTCTTTAATGTTATTAATTTGGTGAATTGATTTCATTTTGTATTAGGCTTTTTGAACAAGATTCTGTGTATGTGATCATGTTGGTCACTATATTCATGAAATGAAAATAATTTACATAATGATCAACTTTGTGTGTTTTTACAGTAGCCTATAATATGCAAAGTACAATGTTCTTTTTTCTAAATAATCTCTGATTCTGTCCTTTTCTCTGACATTTTAAGAGTGACATAGGGCTACAAAAGCTATTTTAGGTCTATAACAGTTTGGATAGTTGTTAATATGAGAGCTGTTCGAAATTATTTAAGAGATAAGTATTGTGTTATTAAATAGGCCTAAGTATCTCTCTGACCCTTTTTCTTTTAAAAACTCCATTTCGTGACAAAGTATAGTTTAACAAGTCATAACTAAAAGTGTGCCATGCACATAATTCAAGGCAATAACCAATGCGCCAATGGTTACTTCCTCCCTTTAAAGTTAGATTAATCTAGCAAAATAACTGGATTCTATTAACTGTGTTTTTCAAATGAACGGTATGTGATTGTATTGTTCGGTTGTTGTTTTTTTATTTTTGTTTTTTTTTGGTTGGTTTTGGGGGGGGGGGGTGGCTCGAAGGGGGTCTCGCCCTGGGTGTAATTCAAAGTAGAACCGCCAACTGATGCACTTAAAAATAAAGCTTTCAAAAGGGGGGTTTCGCAGTCATGCTGAACAGGGCTCCTCAAATCTGGTCCTGGAGGGCCAATGTCCTTCAGAGTTTAGTTCCAACCCGGATCAAACTCATATACCTGGATTTTTTAGTA